TCGTAATTTTAGCGCTGTCGTGTGTAGGCATCGTTGATACCACCTTGTTATATATCGTTTTATGATTTTGTGCGGAATTTAATGTCAAGTCTTTATCCTGATTGTTCTGCTGAAACGATGACGGAAGTCACTTACCGAAAATTTTATATCAGCATACATTATTAGAAATATAATCAATATAATCGATTCTATATGCTATTTTTTTTATCACATTGAATCTGTCGGAAATATCGGATGTATATATTGCCACTGCCATTAGTTGAAATATCGATTGATATTATTAATGTCTTAAAATGTTCTATTGTCCGAGCGGTATCTCTTAAATCGGCGTTATAATAATAATCCGATCTCCACATAACGACGACACGATAACAATTCATAACCCTCGACATAATGAGCGTTCGAGTGTTATGAACAAGTGGCATATATAAGCAGGAAACGATGGTAATTAATTCTGCTGAAGCGATTCAAACGAAAACGCTTGAATCTCGAGAGCCAGTACTCGCAATAACGTTTGCGATTACATCCGCCATTTCTGCCATACTAAAAAGCAGGTCGACACCCGCCTTCCCAAATCATTCATTAGCAATCTGGTTTTATTAAAGAGGTTTTATTTAATTATTGTCTGCTTCTACGAAAATTACGTTTGAAAGCCGCATTTCTTCAGGACTCATACCTTGCACCGCAACAAGAGAATCTCTGATGTATTATGAAAGATTCAATTTTATAATACGCAAATATATAATAAATATATACAAAAATATTTTAATAATTAAATTAAAAAATAAAGATTAAACTTGATTTTAAAAAAATATTTTTTTCTTGAGAGAGTGATTCTAGATATCTAAGAATTTAAGAGAAATCTATAAGAAAAGTGAAGTTTAAAATTGAGTTTGCCAGTGTTAGATTATTGCATAAAAATGGACATTGTCATAGAAGATAAAGAAAGGAAAGAGAAATTCGAGTGTCATAGTAAATTCTGGAACGATTAACAGACTAAACACACGCGGCACAAATAATAATGTATTGGCTTTGACGTACTTATGGCTATGCATAATTCCGCGCTGCTAAGTTGTAGAACTAATTAAACTTTAGTCTACTGAGGGGCAAAGTTAGGCGGTTCTCCTATTTCAATGATTGGTTTCATGAAATTTCGTATAATCACTGCAGGAAGTCCAAGATCGTTAAAATTGAAAATATAGTTAAAAGGCTTAATAACTTCCTTTAGAATAATTTATTTATTTTCAGTATCATTGAAAAGAAAAAGAATACATGCCACGGGAATAAAAGAAAATATATACTTATTTACTTGTCTTAAACTTCAATCTTTTATTTTTGCAATTTACATCGATCGAGTAGACAATTGCATCAAAATCAACAATTGTTAAGTAACAACTGGTCTGACAGAATGTCTTATTTCGTGGTATTGTAAGTGTCGAATTAACCTAATTAAAGGGTCGGAAGAGAGAACGAGAGAAAAAGGGAAAACCAACTAGAATAACAAACGTAGAAGTTGGGCCAACACAGCAGGGTCGGCAAATGGCTGAAGGAGGGAGCGGACGCAAGTGGAAACGAGAAAATAAATCCTCACCACCACGCGCCGGTGGATCGAAATAGCAAATATTTGGAGCTCTTGGTATGCCCGGCATAGACTCACATCCACTTTCCTTAATATCTCCATTCCCTTCATCGACCTGGAACTTCTTGTACATCAAGCTGAAGATTTCCCTTTAGTTGTATCGAGTATATGTATACTTCAACGAAGATTGCGCACTTGCGAACTTAAGAGGATGTAACAATAATGAACGGAGATTTTGGCGTAACGATATCCTTGGGAATCTAAATCACTTCATTTGCTAGATTGGAACTTTTAATTGTCTACTGTAAGATATTTTCATAGAGAATCTCGTGTAATTAAGATCTAATTCATAGAAGATATTTGCATATGATATCTGTATATAGGTACACTGTAAGAAACTGAATTCTGTGTGTTAAAAAATGTGCCAGTTAAATTTTCGTGTTAAATATTTAACACATTTATATGTAAATTTAACACGTTTGTTGTGTAAATTGAAAATTGTTTTTTATGATTTTATTTATAACTAATTTAAAATGAAAAGTTATTGAAATAATTCTCAAAAGGTATTAAACTGCTAATACAATTTGTTGATTTTACATGATAAATATAATTTAACTTTATGATGAAGTTTGCATTTCTGTGTCGAAATATTAACATAATATTAATGTCTATTTAACATACCCATATTAAATGTTATCCATGTTAAATTAATACAAAAATTTGAGTGGATATTTGGGACAGGTAATGAGAGACATTTTAAATTAATATATTATATATTGACACACACACACACACACACACACACACACACACACACACAATAAAATTATATTTTTGTACGTGTGGTATGATGGTAAACGATATTTTATTTTATTTATATAATGAAAGTAATGCATGCGTAAGGTTTACTATTCTTTCATTATTTATTTTAAGTAATTTGAGTCAATGACGTCACTGAGAATTTCGTCTCTTTGTGCAATATTTAAATATTTAATTAATTAATTAATTAAATGTTAATGTATATGCGAATAATTGATTTTGCCGAATCTAAAGATATTTCGCACGTTGCTAGGTATTATTGACGAGCGGTAGAACTGAAAATTACTCGTGGGAAATTCGAAGCACTCACTCTTCCGCGCACTGTAGTTGATGGCATTATTACATATGTATGGGATGGAATCTTGCTTGCCACGTGTGGTTAGATTTATCGAGCTTTACTGTTGGGATTAAAGCAATGGAACGCACCTGTAGTAGTAAAACTTTGTCTAGAAATAAAAGACTCTAGTCAGCTGGACAAAACGACCAGTCTAAGAGTATAACTCGGGAAATGTACAAGTATCCGAGCAAAACTCCGTTTGTATAAAAGAAGTTTTGTAATCAGAAAGAAACAGGTAGAGTAATTATAACAAGAGAGACCATTATATAAGTTAAAAAAAAGATCATCGATATATCCATACATATACATATAAAATTTACACACATACATACATACGCTAATAAGATTAAAATTTTATTTTATATTTAGAACTCAATTTCGCAATTTAAATTTGAAAATCGTTGAAATAATGATAAAAGAGAGAAAGAGGAGTAGTATGTATGAATCGCCAGATTTCATTTATGGTATCTTAGAAATAATAGGTATGTCAGCGTGAGTATGTCAGAAATCATATATAATGTCGTGCACCTGTCAGGAAGTTATCAGACTTTATAGACGCGATAGAACTAGGCTGCCTTTTAATGATAAAGTTCGACCGGGTCTTTAGAGTTAGGGACCGACGATAACGGAAGACACGGTAGATAGAAGAAGGGGAGGTCATAAGAAAATTGAAGAGTGATGGACAGATGTGCCGATGATTGAAACGATTCCGCAACATGATTTCCTCGGCGATGCGCTCATTAATTAAAGTACGATAAAGTGATTAAACGCACGACAATGGGAGCGGACGAGTGCTAAACTGGAAATGCGATTACAATTAAACTATAATTACGTGCGAGCACTGACGCGCGCCGAAACCGGTTAATCCGTTTTCTACAAAGACCATATTCGTGTAACATTCATAATGAAATTATCACGTGGCTGGTATGCTTTCCCACGTGGAACTGTTGCACAGACGCAACTGCTTTTGCACGTTAACGCCTCGTTTGCACATAAACGTCATTAGTCTATTGGTAGAAACTCATTAAATATAACCGAACGAATTTACTGTAACGGCATTATTTATTATCGTTTATTTATTAATCCATTATCGCACATTTATAGCTTCCAGTGTAATGGTAAAATATTTACAGAGATTCCATTTGTACTTTTCTGTATATTTATAATTGGATATTATTAAATTTAAGACCGCTGCATTTCCATCGAGAACTGAATTAAGGGTATGCTTCCTTCTCTGGATACACCGTGTTGCTGGCAAGTCCTTGGACTTTCGAGAATACACGCGAATGGATCGATACGAATGTGGGTAGATCGAAATAAAAAAGTGCCGTTTGAAAGATAGAAAATTAGAGTGAAATTGGATTGTCTTCAACAATCTGTAGTTCTGCCGCATAGTTCTGCCGCATAGTTCTGCCGCAAACCATGCGAATGTGTCACTCACCTCGAGAATGAGCGTTAATAATTTATTTTACACCGTTCATAAAATCGATATAGTACTGTTCCCCGTACGCCAGACAACGATCTAATTATGTTTGCATAACGACATATACGAGTATATTCAAACCTGGAGGAGCGTCGACCGTCTGGCCAGGTGAGGTATTGACTGTTTTACATTTACGTTTCACAATTCGCTCGAGTGTCGTTAGAGTCTCGTGAAATAAAAAAGCACAGATAAAAATTGAAAGAAATAAAGTCCGCTTGATTTAGGTAAGGGAAGTAATCTAACATGTAATTTCGTTGTTTTATTTAGCACTGTTAATATTATAATATAAAACTTATTTCATCGCGTAAATTTCATATTCTTTTTGTCTTTGTATTTTTCATACATCGCCGCAGTGCTAAGATATATATATGACAATATGCAAAGTTATCGCCTTACTTATGATTATTAATAATAAGGAAGAAAAAAAAATAATTGATTCTTTTTAACAAATGAACAAAGTCAAAAAGAATCAATAAGTCAACGAACTGCACGAAGACCGCAATCAAGTTTAAAATATGTTTGGTCTTTCAATACTTGTGCTTCACTAATAATATTCTGTCAATTAACAAAACCTGAATAAATATCTATAGAAAATAGTACATCGTAAAGATGAGAAACAAATGAAAATGAAAAAATATTATTTTGTTAAAAGAAAAACACAAAATGTTTTTCATCATCTACGTTATCAGACACATGAAAATATTTTGATATGAAAAATGACAAAAAAAAATCCAGTGGAAATGATTAAACATATAAGTTTAAATATAACACATATAAGTTTAAATACGACATATAAGTTTATATTGAAAGCACTTCATAAAGCGATCTTTATAAAAATTATATATGTTATCTACGTGTAATTTTTTTTTCTTCACTGTGGTATACAATATTACAATTGCAAGAATGGATGATTTATTCGCTGTCACTACCACCGCTTCCTGACACTGATTTCCTAGACACCGGGGAAGCAGAACTGTAAAAAAAATAATATATTTAATACTTATATATAATATTTATATATAAGTTTCAAATATTACATATATAATCGCATTACGTAAAAAAAATATTTACCGTGCCGATCCACTCGGACTCCGACTCCGAGACCCACTCTTCGATCTAGACCGCGATCGCGATCTGCTGACGCTCCTCGATCTCGATTTTGATCTCGAAACAGATTTCGATTTAGATCGCGATCGACTTTTGCTTCTCGATCGACGTTCTTCCGAGCCTGAGCGCGAACCACTTTTGGATCTGGACCTTGATCGTGATACGCCTTTCCTTGAACCGCTTGGCGACCTCGATCTAGAACCGCTCTTTCTCGAGCTCGACCTTGATCTTGGCTTTGATCCACTTCTTCGCGAGCCACTATTAGATCTTGATCGCGAACCGCTTTTACGCGAACCCGACCTCGATCTTGACTTGCTTTTGGCTGATCCTGATCTTGACCTGGATGCCGAACGGCTTCTTGATCTCGAAACACTTCTGGATTTGGATCCAGAGACGGATCGAGATCGAGATCGAGATCGAGAACGCGACCGGGATGCAGATCGCGAACGGGAAGCGGAACGCGAACGCGAACGTGAACGTGAACGTGAACGTGAACGTGAACGTGAACGCGAACGCGAACGCGAAGGCGAACGCGAACGCGAGCGCGAGCGCGAACTGCTTCTCGAGCGACTTCCAGATTTTGATCTTGAACGAGATCTCGAACGCGAAGCGCGAGAACCTTCGGAATCAGATGCAATTCGCCTGCTACTGCGCGGTTGGTTCTCATTACCACTTTCACCGCTATAACAATAAAAATTATTATAAATTTTTAAATAATAAAGTAATTTGAATTTTACAGATTTTATAAAATATGATAAAAGATTAATATATTAAAAAAAAAAGAACTAATGTTCAAAATTATCCGAGATTTAATTTAGAAATCGTAAATCGTAAACTACATCTGCATATAAAAAAATCTAATATCAATTGTGACTTTTATCGGATTTATAAAGTTGGATTATAAAATTAAAAAAATCATGTAACATTAAGATAAAAAAATCATGCTTACCCGCTGGCAATTTTAAGACCCGTATCACTGTCTGATTCACTCGTTGAAATGGTTTCCTTTGATTTAACCAGCTTACCCTTAAGAGTCTCAACTGCGCCCTTACGTGACTTGTCTTTCCTAGTCCTGGTAGTCTTCTTGATACGCTTGCTTTTCACGTGATCGCTGTCCGATCCTGTAACATAGACATTTTCAAAATTCGTTCTTTCGATTTACAAAAATATTAAAGTCGATAATTAAAGCGGGAAGTTTCACAGTGTCCCATAGACGAAAACAAAAATTAATTTTCTTACCACTATTACCACTTCCGGCGTTTTTCCTACGTTTGCGATTACCTTTGCTCTTCCTTTCTTTAGCTTCTCCGCTGGGTTTCCTCTTACGCTTTCTTTCTTTCGGTATTTCCTCTCTGCCTTCATCTCCATCAGATCCTCCGCTGTCACTAATATATTGGTCAGTTCGAATTCTCTTGCCCTTCCTTCCAGGTTTCTCTGATGGCATTTCACCAAATACCAGTGCGTTCTTAGTTTTCTCCACATATTCTTGTCGCTTCTGCAACATCTCTTCTTCTTTTTGACGACGCATCTCTTCCAATTTGCGTTGCTCTTCCGTTTGACGCATTTTAAAGGCTTGTCTGTGAATTTAAGTAACGATAAATATAGGAAAGAAAATATTTCTATCAAAAATAATGTACCTTTCTTCTTCTTGTTTTCGTCTTAACATCTTCTCTTCCTCATCCAGTCTTCTAGCTCTAGCAACATGATATTGAGCTTGCGATAATAAATCTTGACACCTCCTAGCTTCAGCATCGGCTAATTGTTCCATTCTGTCGCCATGTGTCGACAAATATTGGAAATATTTATGGGAAAGACCCAATTCATGAACCGCCTGAAGTACAGTGGTCAGAGTTGATTTTTCATCTTTAAGAATCTGCGTAGCTAACCGCTGAAGTACGAGAGCAATGTTATACAATAAAACGGTATCCTGTGGAGCTACTCGACGTGCCTAAGAATATATCGATAAATTAAGTTACGAAACCTTAAAATAGAAAAATAAGCTAAGAATTAATATATAGCTAATTACTTTTAATAACGTCAGTTTTGCTTCTTTTAGCTTGCCAGCTTTAAAATAAGCTCTTCCAAGATATTGCAAAACTTCAACGTGATGATACTTATAGAACTTGCGCAAACAATTTTCGTACTGTAATGTAAAATGACAAGTTAATCAAAATTATTTTTTGTATTTCGCTTAGATATACCATTATATATACCATTTGAATAGCGCTGACAAACTGTTTTTGTTCCACATAAATATGTGCAATGTTTAGCCAAACGTCACAGAATTCTGCTGTTGCTTCGCGCACCTGAGCAAATATATCTCTAGCTTCGTTCACGCAACCCTTATGCGCAAGGACTGCACCGATGCCATTTGCAGCCCAAATATTCTTCGGATCATTTCTTAGAACCTAGGAAATCGTATTAATCATAACGAATGTTTCAATCGACTAGATAATACTGTATTACCTGCTTGTACATGGCTAACGCTCGATCCTGATGTCGTTTCTCTCTTTCTTTATCCTTTCCACTCTGATGCAACGTTTGTAGCCAAATATTTCCCAACGCTATTAGAGAATAAGCGTCGGTGCTTGTTGTCGGATTTTTTAAAATTCTCTCGAATTTCTTCTGACCGGGACCCCATTCCATCTTGGCCAGATGCAAATTACCCAGCAGTGACCACGCGTCCGGATGTTCGTTATTGATTCTCAAGGCATCCTTGAACCAATCGGACGCTTCATATATCTGTCCCTTGTCTCTAGCCATACAGCCGAGTCTCAAATAACAATCCACGTAATTCGGATGCTCCTTCAAAATGTCTTTATACAATTTTTCCGCACGGTCGAACACACACAATGCCTCGTTGAGTCGCGCTAAATTATATGTCGTGGTCACTGCTATTGAATTATAATATACAGAATCGTGTAGGGCATCTGCTTTTGAACGCGCGAGGGATTCCTCTAGATTTTTTCTGGCTTCTTCCAAGTTTCCAAGTCTGAGAAATGAAGAATAAATTAATACTATACAAAATGAATGCGACATGAAAATGTGTACCTGTAATGTAATGCTCCCACATTATTTAAGATTTCCGGTGGGATATCCGCTTGAACTTTTTCCTTTAAGATTCTGGTTGCAGTCCCGTAAGCATTCAAGGCTGCATTCAGATCACTTTGTTCTAATATCTGTGCTAATTCGATCCAAGCTTCGACATCATCAGGAAACTGTTCCGTTACTTTTCGCAAATGATTTTTTGCAATATCGCGTTTTGATTGGGAGCTCGAGTTAGCGTAGAGCGAGCCAAGAATCTTCATAGTTTCGTAATTTCCTGGTTGAGCTTTTAAGACTTTCTCAAAACATTGGGCTGCCTTTTGTTGAAGATAAACTTATTTTACACTTCTGTACAAATAATTAATTTCAAATAATGTGTGTTCTTACATTTTCTGCATCGCCGCGATAAACATACATTTGTCCTAAACCAAAATGTGGTAATACAAATACAGGCGGGGCAAATTGCGTCGCCTGATAATAATATTGAAATGCTTGATCGTAATCACCCTAAAACATTTTAATTAATTGAGCGAATGTAATGTTAGCATAAGTAGCAATAATTGCTTCATAGCTTACTTGGACGTGAAATGCTCTGGCTAGTTGATAACAACTTTCTGCTCGCATAGCTTCGTTCTCCGTGTTGTGAAACGCATGCAGCGCTAAATGTTGAACTTTATTGTAATCTTTTTTGAAGAAGAAGTGGTTTGCCAAATGATTCAGCACCATTGGATTTGTCGAATCGATTGTATATGCTTTCGATAACATTTGCACACCGGTTCTTATGCTGTCGGGTTGTTGTTGATTTAATTTCAAGACCGAAAGACCGACTAGCGCGCCGACACATTGTCCATCCAACTGTAAAGCTCTCTCAAAAGCGAGCCGTGCTTTTTCTTGATTATTCAATTTCATGAAACAATGGCCCATTCCTAGTCTAACGGCGGCTGGACAGTTTGGATTAGTTCTAAGAGCTTTCTTATAAAATGCAAGAGCACCTCTGTAATCCTTTTTATTAAATGCGATGCAGGCTTTGCCGAGCAGGGAAGGTATATTATTTGGCGACTGATTCAATACGAAATTAAACTGCGCGTCAGCCTGCTCCATTTTGTCGCCTTCAAGCAGACAAAAATAAGCTCGGCCGAGTAAATGATTCTAGAAAATGACGAATATATAAATTGAAAAGATCTCCAGGAAATCAACTATCGAAACACACATAATACATACCTGATCATACATAATGATTTTGTCAGCTGTTGTATATAATAATGTGGCTTTCGTGAAGAGATCTCTTTTTTTATCCTTATTCTTTTCTTTGTTGGCTTCCTGAACATAATAGGCAGCCAACATGTCCAGAGCTCGCATCTGATCTTTTTCATAGTCACGGTAATCAATGTTTGCATCAATACGAGAAGATTCAAGTATCTTAATGAAGTCATCAATTTTCTGCTGCTTATAATACTCAAGCTAAAATCAGAAAAAAATAAACTTAGACAAATGCCGTATATTCCTATTCAATTCAAATTATCCATTTTACATACGGCCAAATTGACCCAGATGGTAAGCTGGGCATGTTCCTGCCGCAGTATTCCCAGAACTTCATCTCCATCTGGTAACTGATCTAAATAAAGTTCTATAACCTATCAAATTAAAAAAAGAAATAAAAAAGATTAAAATCTGGAAAGATTTTATATGTATAGATATTTTGCATTTTTCTCATTAACTTTTTCTGATATTTACGTTCAAGTAAATAATATAAGATAATTATTATATAATTATATATAATTTTATTACAAATAATATTAAAATATAGGATCTACAGGATAGTCAAATAGTATTCATGATATTCATAATAGAGTACTAGAATAAGAATAAATAAGGGAATAATTTTTATTAATTTTAATGTATTTTAAAATAAGATTAAAATTATATACCTGATATATATCAGATATAATTATAGAAAAAAGTTAACATTTGAAAATATATAAATAGAATTAGATAGTATTGTAGATACAAAATATCATAGCCTTACAATTATATATTGATATAATTGCAAAGATACTAAAAGATAGTAAAAAATGATTAACGATATTTGAAAATGGGAATTGGATTGTTCTTTAAATGGAAAAATCATAGGTTTATATTGAGATTGATATATATTGGCTGTTCAACAGAAAAAGCAGCTTTGCTTGTAAGATTCTTTAATATAATTGGTTTATACTTTTAGATCCATGAAGAACTAAGGACAAAAATCATATCAAAGATTTTTACGATAGTTGTAAAGCTGCTTTCTCTGCTGAACACAACTAATATGTAATCACAGATGGAAAGGATTAAAAATAATTTGGAAACACATATGGATAGAATTGAATTATATTTTAAATGCAAGATCTTAGACTTATAATCATACTAATACAAGATATAATTATTACAAATAGAAAACAATTAATATGTAAAAATACAAGAGAAGCAAGATAATTCAGAAAAAGTAGAGAACAAAAGTAGGGATACTTTTTCCCAAAATTCTATTAAGGATAATTATAACCAATAATATCCTTATTGCAATCTACAATGTAGAGTTAAATTAGAATGTAGAACGTGGCATTTCATGTAACATAATATTTATTTAACTAGAAGAACCATCCTTTTCGTCGAGGTTAGGTTTCTACTGATGTTACTGATAATCTCAAAAATTTTATATTTTTCGTGATACATTCAACTCCTTTATGTTGAGAGTCTCATTAGGAAGCTTGCAAACGAACGATGTAATCAATAGAGAAGGCATATTTACCTCATCTGTATCACGAAGGGGTATCTCTATGGATCCCGCCATTGCAACATACTCCTACCTCAAGGGCAATCAGATATACTGCTGTCAGAGAGAAGCCTAAGAGCGGCCATCCCGGCCTTTCTCATGGGACCATCGAAACCCCTTTATACACTAGCGCTCCCAAGTTTCATTTTAGCATCTTGGAAATAGCCACTTCCATTTTCTGACTCTGTCGATAAAATATCATTCTGGTGTGTGTCTGTGCTAATCCGCTGAATATTATGAAAAGATTTTTAGAAATATTGCGATCAAAAATTGATGTTCATATGATATCCCTGGAATGTTATTATATTAATGTTATAATATTATATTAATTTATAATGTTATTATAATTTATCATTATGCTGGCGGAATTTAATTTAACATTTTATTTAATGTTTATTTTATTTAATATTTTTTAATATCGTGGGAATATTTTGTTGATATTATATGTCTATTTCACATAATATTCTTATTATATTATTTTAATATCCACGGAATATTATGAAAATGTTCCTGAAATACTATTAAGGTAAAAATTGATATTATGAGATGTCATTATAACATTCACGGTTTTTTATTATAAGTTTTGCATTTATCATGTGAAGTCAATGTATACACGATCGTGTCGTCTCTAGGTATTCGTAATTCATGACTGTTCGACGTTAATGAAAATATCGAAATCAGTCTGAATCAGCTGATCCTGCGATTTAAGTTTATGTTTCATTCAGGTTTATGTCCGATATTTATAATTCATGTTTATTTCGAAATTATCTTAAATAATATTTAGGTGCTACTATGATCGTGATTGATTTAGGAGATCTTAAATAAGTACTACAGACAATCTTAAATATAAAAACTAATTTTATGAATATGAGTTAATGAGATTCTCATTAAGTTTAGATAATTAAATTTAAGAAATTAAATTAATCAATTCCAGTTTTCGTATTTTTGTAATTTTTTTATTTTTTATACATGGTTTGTTTATAATTTTATCAACTATTTTATTTTTTATCTTACGTAGTTTATTAATTTGATTTCTGAAAAATTCATATTTCAGTTGAATATAAGAAATTATGAAAAGAGGATATAAAATTTTGCTCTAAAATTGAAGATTTTAATTGAATTCTTTCTAAAAGCTTGAATCATGAAAAATTTAACTCACACATTTTGACAATATTATTAGCAAGACGTAATTGATGGGAAAAAAATACTAATTAAAATTTAAGAAATGCTAAGCTAAAAGAATATGAAATCTTAATAGAATATTAATTTAAGTATAAACAAGTATAAACAAAGAAGAAAATTTACAGAATTATTTCTTTGGCTGCGTTTTGATATTCAACGAATACTGAAAATATATAGTTCGTGTCATATGTTTTCATTATAAATTTTCAGTTTTGGCAATAAATATCAGAATGCAACTCTTATGTTCTTCCTTTGTGCATCAATTACATAAGATTAATTAATTTATTGAATAATTGTATGATAATATGAACTATCGTGTAACAAGATCAGAGTTGCCAAGTTTAGATTTTCTGTTCATCTCTTGAATTATCTATGATTTTATTACCATTAATTATTACAACAAAAAAGTAGATTTTGGACGATTCTAAAATCTAACTATAAGTCACAGATTTAAGGCTCGACTTTCTCGTTGCTGCCAAATTGAATTATGACATCAGAAGCGAGAAATAACATGCAAAATCATGTTTTAAGGGAAAAGTACAAAACTATACGACCCAGAAAACTTTTTGCATGTTATTTCTCGCCTTTGACGTCACATAATTCATATCGCGCCGCGAGAAAACCGAACCTTAATAATCGATATAATACTTTGATATTGCGCGAAATAGCAGGATATAAAGATGTATAGTCATTGTGTAGTTTTAAGTATCATCCGCGTTCGTGAGAAATATTTGTTCATTGCAGCTGCAAATCGTACTATTGTAATAGAAGAATAGAACAGTGTAGCACAATTATGTAGTCGACTTACATTGATCATATTAATTAAGTTGATCGAGTTCGTCGAGATGAATTACTTAAAATTCTTTTTTTCTTTCTCGATCAGCCCTCGTGATTAATGTAATTTAGAAATATCTTTGTATATATACTACAGTATATCGATCATAATAGTCATAACAAACATCCACGAAGATAATTCGTGTTAATATAAAAAATTTAAGTGAAAATGAGTACACGAGGTACATAAAACGAGTACATGTTTCGCATTCTCCTAATTCTACAATCTAAATGCTAATAGACTTCAACATTTGGCACCTTTCGTTCTTACAGAATTAGCTCACATCTGTATAAACAATATACTGGAAATATTTTTGATTAGAGGGAATATCAATGGATATTTTGATTTTATTGGCCGTCTTCAAGTTTATAATTCGGATGTATGAACTTACGAAATTTTTACGAAATTTAATAATTGTCAATTTTATATGACATACATATCGAAAGAAATCATTTAAATTAATTTCTATGAATGTATGAATAAAATTATACTTATATACCAATTATTATGTTATCCAAACTTAATCATAATTATTACGCATGAAGCCTATAAAGTTAAGGTAAACATAATGATTAAAATTATTACGATAATTAAATAATATAATAATCTAGTAGCATTGTTTTATATTATAAATTATACCTATTACTTATTAACTAATCCATCGAACTTATTAATTAAATCATCGAATTACAAATCAAAGACGGCCCAGTTACTTTACTGTTAAGTACAATTAACACTGTGTAATAATAATTATACACAGATTATCTAGAAGTTTTTAGACTGTGTATTAGCGTTCATAATCGAAGTGTCGATATACAAACATTCTTTCATGCTTTTTAAAGTATTTCTCGGTTTTCAAGAAGTCAAGAGATTCGTGTTTCGAACGAATGAATCACACGGTACTCTATTCTAGGCAGTCGTTTTCTTCTGCTTATTAATTACAGGCAGAACCGCTGTTTCCGTTCGCAGCCTGAAACAGATTTCATTTATATCTCCAAGAACAAATACGAAGAATACGAAGACATCACTCGCTATCGCGGAGGCAGACGGATTACCGCGCGAATTAAAAAGTTCTTCAAGTCGCGCAAACGATTATTTAACAGAGCACCATCAAATATATAACAACATCTAAAAAATTTTTATCGATCGTCAATTTTATTTGTCGTTTAATTTTATTGCCTTCGTACGGGTCAGTTACATTATGCGACTTGTCCACACACAAGGCTACTTTCGTAAATGTATCAGATTTTAATAACGAATCACCGAGCACGAAACATCAAGTCTCAGTCGCATCATCATAACGTAAAGTCGCATTATTGAAAGTGGATAGATTTCGAGAAAACGTTTAATCGCGCGGATTCCATCTGCCTCGGAATATCGCGCGAACCCTGCGCCCGCGTCAAGTTCATCCCCGACAGATATCAGGGCACGCTGGTACTCGTATCGAAATACGAATTGGACGAGACACGCGGCATCGATCTCGATGCTACTTTTAGGTTCGCCTGGCTGCCGTAGAAGGAGGTGAAGGCCGTGTCGGAACTGACGCTGAGTGGTAAGCTCGTCGCGTCCATCGTCTCCCTTTCGCTGCCGAGGGTGGACGCTCTTATGTCGAGGGTGCCGCTCACGCCGGACATTCCAGAACTCGTGGCCATCTCCACCTCGCCGACATCGGGATGAGACATGTGTCTTGAGATTAATATAATATGTAATTTATATTAACGTACGCTTAGCATTCGCGCGTTTTTTCTTTAATGCGACGAGCCTTTACCTGTAATCCGGGATCGGTGGCTCGATGTGCTGCCTCCGTGAATTCGACGACATTGGCGTTCTCTTTATGGCGTAAATGTATATGCCGGTCATCGTGAGCGCGTACGAGACGAAGTACAAAGTGTGAAACTGGAGCAAAGAAATTTTAGTACTGATTTACACTCCATTTAACTCCGCTTAATAGAACTTGGAAAAAGCTACTTCATAAATAATTATCTGGCCGTAATGCCTCCGTCTGTGATACATGATCGCGAAGCGATATGAATTTAACAGGAACGCGATCGATCGTATGGCGAATGACGACATTGTTAATACAAATCAATCGTCTACCTTGTAGTGGTGATTAAGCATTCCAGCCAATATATTGAAGGAGTCCGACGTAAGCAGCGCCAGTTGCAAGGCGGTAGCGCCCGACTCGAACAATATTACCGGCACCAACGAGAAGAACATGAATTGCGTGATGCAGTAGAGAATCAGGATTGTTATTACTGGTGCGTTGTCCCAATGGAAAGCTTCTATTTGAAACCTCTGGAGCACGGCGCTGAAATGAAGCGCGATCGATACAAAAAAATATCATTCATTCATCAGCGTTCGAATGAAAGCTTTCGGTATCAACCTTTATTACTTACGTCTGCATGCAGCTCAGTATCGTGCCGAAGAACCGATCATGCCGAGATATTCGATAATATCGACCGTTTTGACGGCCAATTCCTGCAGAACCGTCGTTATCGAGAATAGCACCGCGCCGCCAAGACAAAGCATATCGCCGACGAGTTGATTTTTTCCGATGCGACAATACAATTC